GGGGTCGGACTCGATGATCTATTGAGGTCCCTTCCGACCCTAACATCTATGAATCTATGATCCAATTGCCAGTATGCAGCCCCGCAACTTAGAGATCAGCATCCGCCCAGTAAGTCTGTTGGGAGAAGGGGCATGGCGGGGCAGATTGAGTCCCCCATGGTGAGGGAGGGAGTGGGGCTGAGACAGGCAAGGGCAAGCTCTGCCCAGCAAGGCTGGGGTGGGGTGTGGGATAGAGCTGTGGGCGGCTGATCTGAGGGGTGCGGGGTGAGGTCAGTTCACTGCTGCTGCTGCACACATGGGGGGGCATGCAACCCCCAGATTTGTATGCAGGGCGAGGGCAGGCTTCCCACTGCAGGCTTGGGGCTGGAGGCTGTGCCAGCGCTACAGCCACCCCAAAATTCACCATAGCTCTCCTGTAGCCTGCCCCCCCAGTGCCACTGTCCACCCCACCCTGAGCGCAGCCCTGGCCAAGACCCCTGCCAGAAAGAGGCCGGTGTGGCTTCTGTCCCTGAGCCCACAGTGGGTAGCCTCCCCTTGCCCCATTCACAAATGTGGTGGGCACATGCCCCCCATGCCTCCCAAGGGTACATGCAGCAGCGACCCTGACCTGGACAAGCCACCTGTAGCTCCATCCCATGCCCTGCTTTGGCTGGGCAGGTGCTCGTGTCTCACTCCCTCCCTCACTGTGGGGGGACTTGATCTCCTCCTCCTCCCCCACATGCCTTCCTTCCCCACCATGCCCTTTCCCCCAACAGACTTACCAGCAGGAGGCTGCTCTCCAAGCTGTCAGGCTGCATTCCTGGCTGCCTACATGCTGTGGCTATGCGCATGCACACGGCATTTATTGGTGACATTATCAGCTATACCAGCCAAAAAAAGCCGATTACCAATAATGTCAATTTTCCTTTTATCAGTGCCAATATGATATGGACCAATACATTGGTGCACCTCTACTCAGTTTGCCTCCTTATTGAAAACATGGCAAAAAATGGAGGATGTTGGTTATCCAGAAGGCTAAGAAATCCAGACTCTGGGAGTAACTTTGGGTATATCTTCACTATATAATGCAGTGCTGTGTAGAACTGTATATGAGCTAACTTGGACACCAAAGGTAGTGTAGTTACATTAGTTTGACACTCTGTGTGATCTAATATTTCCTACTTCATATGATGGACTTCCACAGTAACTCAGCTGTACTGCTGCATGGCACTGCATTGTGCAGGGTAGATATATTTTTCCTTCCAGAAATAGTATTTGAAAACACCCGCCCAGTAAACCCCTTCCATGTAAACCTCCTACCTACCTGTGTTAAGCTATGTCTACACTGTAAACAAATGATGCTTGACAATGGTGACCTCCACCACACTGCCCTCTTCTGGACAGAAAGTACTGTACCAATTTCTGTGTAATGCCATGGGTGGGTTAGCATGGGGCAGTCATTCACCCTGAATTGCTGCACAGATGCAACTATACCAGAGGTTCCCAAAATGCGGTACACATATCCCTGGGGTATGCAAGGCATCTCTGGGAGGTACGCAGGAGAAATTATGTAATGGCAGATTTAATTTTCATTATAATAATAATTGGCATTTAAGGGGTTAAAATATAAAATGTGTGCTAGTAGCTGTACGTGGGCAGCTGGTAAATCTGGAAGGGAGTACACAATAAGAAAAAGATTGGGAACCTCTGAGCTAATACTACTTTCAGTTAGGAGGTAGCCTGAGCGTAGCTGATGCCAGGTACAATAAGTTTGCTATGTCAACCGGCCCTTAGAGTTTTATTATATTCCCCATCACTATAATATCTAAGTATCCTGAGCAGATCCAGGATTTTATGAAGGTGGGTGCAGGACCCGGTGCTGCAGGGGTAGCTGCAGCTACTCCACTCAACTCTCCTCCTCTCCCCACATCCCCTCAACAGGAAGGGCAGACTATGCTGTAGGAACAAAAAACAGGGTCTTTTTTCAAGTCCCTGATTCAGGTAAGAAGTTACCCGCCACTGTTAGTTCCTCCTCCCTTCTCCATATGCAGTGGTCATGTCTACATGTTCATTAATGTGCTATAATTATGGCACATAAAGTTTAGTACATGTAACAACAGGTAATAACTTAATGAGCCGTAATTGGTGCTACAGCTCAGTAACGCCAGTACACGTTTTTAAGGTAATGCTAATGCACGGTAGACTAATTCTACTGCACATTAACACGGTTTCTGCCTGCTGTGCTAATGCGCAGTAGAATTAGTCTACTGCTCATTTAGTATCTCATGTAGACACACACCCATAGTGCATTTGTTCTCCTCTCGTCACATTTGCCCCATCCTGTGTCGTCCTCCACCTGCCACTGCTACCATCTCCAGCTGTCCTAGGGGTGACAGGAAGCATTGGGGCTGCTTCTGTTCTGTTCCTGCTGGGCTGCCAAGGGAACTGAGCTAATTTGGGGACAATGGCAGCAGCAGCAGCAGGGGCATGGTAAGTTCCTCCTCCCTGAGCGTGCTCCTGGACTGGCAGGGAGCACCCAGGGACCAGGCAGGGAGGGGGAACCTGCTTGCTGCCACTGTTCCATGCCAAGCCTGCTCCCCATGCAGCCTGTCTGGAGTTGGGAAGGAGTGGCTTTGGAACTCCCATGCCACAGGGGCAGCCAGGGACAGTGGTGGTGGAGGATGGGAAGAGAGGATGTGTTGCTGAGCAGGGAGGGGAAGTGATGGGAGGGATTTTTAACTGATATGGGGACTTTAAAAAGTCCCCAGCTGCTGCTTCTACAGCATTGTGAGAAAGGGGGTGGTGCAACCTCACCAGTGCACCCTGCTTTTGCGTCTGCCCCTGATGAGCACATTCCACATTAAATCAATAGCATAAACCATAGGCTCTCTCTTTTCAGAGAGCAAACTTCTGCTTGGGGTAGGTTATCTGGTGGGGGGGGATGTTGAGAGCAAAAGGAGCATTTGAACTGTGAGCATCATTTACAGTGGGATTTTTCTCAGAGAAGGTGGCTTTGCAGTGCAACAGTGATCTCCAGTTCAAATGCCTCCACTGATCCCAGCTGTGTGAATATTGCACACAGGGAGAAAATAGCCAGTTTCCAAACCATCTATGGCTTTTTGATGAACAGTAGCACTTTGAACTCTACCCAGAAGCTGACAGGTAGCCAGGGCAGATCTTAGCATATTGATGCCCCGTGCTCTCTGCATAATTGGCTGCTTAATACACTGACCACCACATTCTATAATATTCAGATAGTCCCATAATCTTGCCCAGTGTGGCATACACTCCAGTCAACTGGTCTTAAGTGACAGAAATGCAGATTAGTTGTAGTAGAGCCTACATCTAAATTAAACAGTTGCAAGTGCAGCTGAAGAGAAAAGAAAACAAAAATGTTGGCCAAAGTAGCATCTGTGAGCAGCCCTAGATCCACAAGACACCTTAGTGCAGCATCATTCTATCAACATTATTTCAGTCTTGTCTGACTGAGTCTCAGCCAGATAGCCCTCCTGCCAATTTTTTTGTGGACAGAATCAGATGTAATAGTTTATAGAGCAGAGTGTCATCAACATCCTGAAAACAGCTTTTCTCATGTCCCTTCACTAATGCTCCCAGTGGTCTCTTCTGCGTTAAACAGAAAGGCAACCAAGTAGATCTCTTCAGAATTGTGAGTGTTTTGGAGGCAGACTAATGCCTGCGTAGAACTAGCCTCTACAGTTGCATACAAAAAGGAGCCAAGCCACTCAAACAACTCTTATCTACTCCTTGCTACTTTAGTCACACTTTGTGATCGGTGGTGACACAAAGTCTACAAACAGATCCAGAAGAATGAGTGTATCATTTAATCATCTGCTGCCTTGAGGAGAGGGATAATTAATCAGCATATTCAGTATCGTTTTGTCCCTTCATTTGGCTTAAATCCTGACTAAGGAAATCGTCAGACCCAAGAAATTTAAGTGTCCCTTTTATTCCTGATTAATGACTTTAATAATGACCTTTTCCAACATGGGAAATTAAATACAGGTCAGTAATAAGCAATATTGCTAGCGTTCTGATGGCATGGTTTGTACACTAACTGACATCCTCAGTTTTGACTATAGACCCTTGCATTCTCTCAAGTGCAGCACTTAACCTTACCAAATTTTATTTATGTTCTTACTGAAGTATAAATAATGGAAGCAATTATTTGTTCTCATAATATTTGTGTAGTTTTTTTATTAACTGTTACTTGTCAAATATTATTGAAACTCAAGTTCAGGGATTGCAGCTTAAAAACTTTGTCTGAACACTCACATCCAGAATATCTTAAGCAAAATATCTAAAGGATTGGTATTGTATTTTAGAAAAGCATGAAACATAGACCTTAGTAAATCTGAGAATGTGTTTTTTCCAGTCTGTTATCAGCAGCCATAGTAGATTTCCACTGAATCTTTATCTCTTCCACTCTCGAAGTGTTAGCTATAGTTATGGCCTGATACCACAACGATAGGCACTATATTAACATGTAGAAGAAAGGGTGTAAGTTTATTTTCCTGGCACAGTGCAATATATGAACTGTGACTAGCTGGTTCTTATTATAACTCGGAAAACCTTTCACTTCTGGTGATCATGTCTGCAGTCATATATAGTGTCTTCCTAGCAGAGCAAAAATCAGCAACAGTCAAGAAATACAAACCATCTAAAAAATACCACAGTTCTTCTAGGTTTTTTTCACTCTCACTGAATTCCATTTTGATAGGCTTTGCCAGATTTCCTTTCTCAGCCTCCAGGTATAGAAGGATAAGTACATCAGCTTGTTAAAGTCCTCTTATCACAGTGCTTTGCTTGGGATTTCTTTGGACGTGCTCCGACTTTTATTTCATCTTTTGAGATACAGGTTAGAGAGCTGTTTTCCTAGAGAATGGTTTTGAGTTAATGTGAATACTGGCTGTTTGGAATAAATTCAGCAGATGATAAATCTACTAATAGAGCAAGTGGAAATGTTCTCTGTGTTTACAGTAGTTCTCTGTGTTTTATTGTAGACCTCAAAGGAAGACCTTTTACAAGCTGATTTTGAAGGGGCTTTAAAATTCTTCAGAGTTCAATTGCCCAAGAGATACAGGGCAGAAGAAAATGCCAGACGACTGATGGAACAGGCCTGCAATATTAAGGTAGGAGTGATCCTCATTATC